AGCGGTGGGCAGTGGGGGCAGCACTGGCTTTCATGGTAAGGATGGAAACCAACCGGCGTGAAGGCGCGCACAGTCCCGAAAGCGCGGTTAGGCGCCAGGGTCTCCGCTGGGCCGAGCGGGCGGATGGCTGCCCTTGTCAGGCGGGCTTGTAAAGCGCAGGCAACTGCACGGCGACCTGCTTTAGCTGCCTCCTGCGGCTTAGAGCCGTACTTGGCTTTAGCGTAAGTTAAACAAAATTAAGACTGTGATTATGCTAAGGGGATGCAGCCAACAAAGTACAGATATAAAAAAATGTTGAACGCCGCAAAGTCATGAAGCATTATGTGCGGTTGGTAAGGACTGACCGTACACACCGAAGTCTGTTAAGCCATAAATGAATGAGAAAAATGGTGTGCTTGGCCATTTGCTGTGCGGTTTTGTCTTACTTATTTTAAATTAATTGCTATCATCGACCACAATCATGAGAAAAGTTAAGCTTGAGGTAAGGTAGGGCAGTAAACCGCGCGCTCTGAAAGGAAGCTGGTCCTGCAGCCGAGCGGCCGCAGGCTTTCGCCAAAAGCACGCGTCGCCGGACAGCCAGCGGCCTTTCCTTGCAGCGTTTCGTAAACGCAAGACTTCCAAGTCCCTGTTCTGCAAGGCGATTTGGAGCTGCCGTGCCGTCACGTTTAACTTGTCCTTTCGAAACGACGACGGTTAAGGGGGAGCAGAGAAAACTCTTCGCGTGGAAATACAACGGTACAGAAGTCTCCGTGTTATGTTCTGCATCTGCAGAGGCAGAGACACCTTCCTCCAGGCCTCTCATCTCCAGCACTAATATTATTATTAAATATTTACATCGCAGCATAATGTTGTATGACACTTTACAGAGATAAAAGATGCAATCGTGGCACTGAAGATCTTAGCACCGACGTCGGGCGCGCGAAGCCAGCAAAGCTCACAGGAAGAAGAAGCTCAAGCACCTGATCCGCCGCTGGTGACCCACAGGCGGTTTTAGTCCGTAAGAGAGCATGGGGCCGGGGCCGCAGCATGCTGAGCACACGCGCGCACGGCTCATGTGGCTTGCAGCCGTTTGCCAGCCGCCTTTCCGCCCCGCTGAGGCACCCGGCCTACGGCCCCCACCCTCCACCCCC